GCAAAAGAATCGTAAGTTGCCGCTTCATCGCGGGCGGCAATGGGCGCGACGTTGCGCGACGTTCCCGTAATTTGCACTACCCTTTCGATTGGAGCATCGGATTTTATGTAGACAAGGAAAGGTAGACATTTATGTCCATTTTGGTCATACGTCCGTTCTCGACCAATACCACCTAAAATCGTCGTCATTAGCGGGCGCGACGTCGCACGCGACGCCCACTGGCGCGGCGAATCACGATTCTCTTGCCACATACACCTATGAATCGAGGTGATAGGTAGACCAACCCGATCGACTATCGCAAAATCAGACTTCAGAGCTTCCAGACGTCGTCTCTGTAGTTTTAGCTCCTTTCAAAATTTCCTCCAGATTGAAATAGTGTTCTTACGAATGGTTTATTCAACGTCTTGACTTTTCCAGCTCTGAGGAAGGCGAAAACGCCTAGACTTAAGAAGAATAAAAGTGGTTAACAATCTTGCTTTCAAGCCGAGGACTGACAACAGAAAGAGAAGCAATGCAGCTCCTCTCGGTACCTATCCATCACAGCCATCACTGCGAAACCGCAGGAAACTACTGCCTTTCTTGAAAAGAACTTGAGTACACGTGATATCTCAAGCAGTAGAATGAAAAGACCTTATAACGAGGCGGCTCTTGACTTGTTTTTTCAGTTTATAAGGAAAATGTACAACAGGATTGCGTTTCGCCTTCTACCGCATGCACATGCACACGATTAGATTTCACAAGGAAACCAAACAGTTGGATGCCGAAACTTTAAAGAAATAGGTTCACTCTTTCAACTAAATTCATGGAAGTAAAACAAAAAGAATAAGGAGAACAGACTTACCTTGAAATCTACTCGAAATCAGCTCGCTACGATTTGTGAGATATGTCTTGCAAAACCGACACACAACCACTCGAAGACCACCTGCAGGAATGAAAAGGGATGTTACAAAGAACAGCAATGGATAGCTTGGACTCACCATGATTTTCAATGAAGATTCGACCCATGACTTTTAACTATACACAGAATAACCCGTTGACGACCGCTCTAATAGCGAAAGGGCAAGACGCGGAAGAACACGAGCCGAATCGTGACTGACTTGTCCATCAGCTGATGCCGACCCTGGCTCCAGAGTTCCGCTGCGAGCGCAGCGGCTGCGATGCGCAGTGTCCATGGAGCAGAAAATCATGTATACGCACCAGAGCACCTCCTGTCGCTGAGGGAAATTGGGGAAAATACGACCTCTCCTTCCCTAAAACCCTCCCCTGATAAGATTGCTCCCTCTTCCCCATCTTACCTACCAATTTCTAGATTTTTCGTAGTTCCTACCACTTTTCCCAGTTTTTAAGGAATTTTCCGAAAATTTTCTAGTCTTTCCCCAAAACTTTGTTGTCGAGCGGAAGGGGGGGGGGAGGAGGGTCGTCAACAGCCAACTTCTAATTTCAACTATCAGAAATAGTAGTTGAACTTCATCGGTGCCACCAACTAGGGGGAGGGGTGAAATGGGAAAAACCGCGAAAAGTAAAAGACCGGGAAAAATCTTTTCCCAACGCCGCAAATATCTCTCGTAAGCAATCTCATAAGCAAATACGTCCCCCCACCCCAAGCGATCGAGAACGACCCCTATTCGCTGAGGATTCCACAACCTACGACGTACCTTGATACACACACAATCCACACCCCACATAGGCGAGATCTCTCTGATTATGACACCACTTCAGCTTATCTGTGAGCATGATGCTAGGGTGCTGACGTAATCGGGAGGGGTGGGGGGGGGACCACGCAGCACGCTGCTCTTCTGCTTCCTCTTCGCTGAGACTTGTATTTCAAACACACTTAAAAAAGATTCCTAACATATTACAAGGGAAAATTGATCTGTTTTGCACAAAAAGGTGAAATGCATGTACCAGTGGGAAGGTTTGTCAGCATAGGGCTTCTGATCCTAATCTTTTGTTTGTCTGATTTGGTAGGGCGTAACATACTTATAAGGGCTTTAGGTTCTACAGCATCCAGGGCATTTAAAAGAACTTTGCACAAAGGAATGGGTTCACCTGTCCCAAACTTCCTTCACCCTGAACGCAGCCAAAAATCCTCACCCTCTGGTTTACAATTTATTCTCCGCCCTTTCTAACAATAGAACCTCGCCTTATTACAATACCACCCTGTTTAACATGAACGTGTTTCGAAATTGAGAGTTTACTTGAACGCAACGCCTTACCGGAGCCAAGCAAACACTTCATCTAACTCGGCTGTTAGGAGCGGATCAGCAAGGAGTCGTGTGTCGCGTCGGCCTCCCCTACGTAGCACCGATTTCAGTTTCCGGTAGGTTTAAAGGATGAGGGTGCACCGACTTTCAGTTTCCGGTAGGTTTAAAGGAGAGGGTGCTGTCATATTGGGGGGGGGGAGGGGGAACACGCGACAAGCTGCTCGCCCGATCCCTCCTCGTCGGCACAACATCCTGCATGTTTGGTTGATTGATGAATCTCCCGCTTGAGATTTGCTGACAATGTTTTATGGGTTATTTCAAACATTATCTGGACAAAGAGGGAGCAGAACAGCAGCCTGCCGCGTGGTCCCCCTAATCACGTTAGCGTCATGGGCAGAAACGGCTGCTGGAGCTGAGCTCTCCGAATAAAAATGAAAGAAAGAATAAGAAGGTCCCGTGATTACTGACCACTGGTGAGACTGGCTACTTGCTCCCTCTCAGGGTAGATAAAAACGAAAAAAAAGACAAAAGAACAGATGAGCGCGGTTGATGCAATTTTACCCACCATTGTCGCGCTGGACGAGAAGTCCTGCGACACTTCAATTTTTGGGGTGAATTTGCCTCTATGAAACACAGCTCTGGTGTCCTAGGTAGGACAAATGCCCATCTTTCGAACAGCTTCGATTTCTTTTGGAGTTCCATGGCGACTGCGATGGAAAGAAATGGCTGATCTCGTTTTCGAATTGATGAGTTGAAATTTCTAATGGTAAGAGATGCAGTGGGGACCAGAGAAGGTGGTGATTAGAGAGAGGCTTCTGACAATGAGTCTGATGCGTAAGCAGAGCATGACCGCACCTCCCAAGGTGGGTCAAATTAGGTTCGCGCTGTCAAGAAGAAGAAAGAATGTATGTAATTC